GGAGCAACTCAATGACTGGCTTTGACTGATCACAGGTCAAAGACAGCAGTGATTGGCTGAAGGATTCGGTAGGTTAGTAGCTCATAAACCGAACAAACTTTGAACAAGAGTAGTGGACCATTAGTTGTTCCTTCATCAAGACTCCTGTGTCAACATGAACTTTGATCCAATGAACAACCTCTTTTCTTTTTTTCTTTTAGTGCAGTGACATCCAACCAATAGAACCTTTCCCATTCCACAAAAGGCTTTGGTCACTTTATTTAAGGTGTACTTGTTGCTGTGTAATTTTACTCGTAAGTACTATTAGTGATGGATTTTTTTTTTTTTTTTTTTTTTTTTGCATTTCTTATCTTCTTATGTCACTAGTAACCACACTCAATGTATTTCTTTTTCAACACATCCCATAATTAAAAAAAAAAAAAAAAAACGGCCTCTACAAAATGGTTGAGATGTCACTTAATGGTAATAAATGGCACCGGAATACATACACATACAAAAAAAAAATAATATATATATATATATATATATATGCTTAGCTTGCAAAATTTCAGCAAAAACACTTCACATGGCTGGAGAGATTTATTTGTTTCTGACATCCATCTTAGACGAAGTGTTGTGACAAGTGCTGTTGATTGACACTGTGAAATCTAGTGGATTTTTTTTTTTTTTTTTTTTTTTTTTTGTCATAATATACCTCAACCAGATGATAGAGATGGCTCAATCATTTTGAGTTAAGTCAGTTAAAGGGTTAAGTTCTTTTGAATGATTGTTCTTTTAAGAACTTTTTACTGAAATGTTCTTTGGGGATCCAACAATGGTTCTTCAAACCTCCCCTCCTGGCATCTTTATTATTAAAAGGTTAGTTCACTTTTGAAAAAAACTTTTGCTGATAATTTACTCACCCCCATGTCATCCAAGATGTCCATGTCTTTCTTTCCTCAGTCGAAAAGAAATTAAGGTTTTTGATGAAAACATTCCAGGATTTTTCTCTATATAATGGACTTACATGGGAACCAGATGGCCCAAGGTCCAAACGACAGTTAATAACAGTTTCAGATGCAGCTTCAAATATCTTTAAACGACACCAGACGATGAATAAGGGTCTTGTCATGCGAAACGATCGGTTATTTCAAAACTTATTCCAAAAATGTAACTTTTCTAAGGACAAATGCTAGCCTTGCTATATTCTGTGAGGCGCGTTTGCAACATCACGTAATACGTAATTACGTTCAAAAGGTCACGGGTGACGTAGCCGGAAGTACAGAATCAAAATTGTCCGACATCGTTGTTTTACCTTTTAATTCCTTTTTTGTAAACGGTGTTTGAGTTAGTTTTGCACGTTCAACCTATGCGTTCAACTTGTAAACACTCTGACGCTGTACTTCTGGCTACGTCGCCCGTGACCTTTTGAACGTAATTACGTATTACGTGACGTTGCAAACGCGCCTCACAGAATATAGAGCAAGGCTAGCATTTGTCCTTAGAAAAGTAAAATTTTTGGAATAAGTTTTGAAATAACCGATCGTTTCGCATGATAAGACCCTTATTCATCGACTGGTGTCGTTTAAAGACATTTGAAGCTGCATCTGAAACTGTTATTAACTGTCTTTTGGACCTTGGGCCGTCTGGTTCCCATGGAAGTCCATTATATGGAGAAAAATCCTGGAATGTTTTCATCAAAAACCTTAATTTCTTTTCGACTGAGGAAAGAAAGACATGGACATCTTGGATGACATAGGGGTGAGTAAATTATCAGCAAAAGTTTTTTCAAAAGTGAACTAATCCTTTAAGAGTATTGCTAAATTAGCTGATTTCATTCTTTTCTTTTTTGGAAAGTAAAAATGTTTTTGTTTTTTTTCATACTAAACCATAATTCAGATGGCAGTGACACACCTATGAAGCACTGATGGCTTCACAGGGGGAACTTACAGAGAAAATATAATGATCAGCCTCTTGGTGCCTTTCAAAATTGCTCAGTTAGCGTTAAATTACTCTGAACGCTGCCCTAAAAGGCCAAGCTGGGTGAAATTAGCATGCTCCGCCGCCTCCGTACACAATCTAAATAGAACCATACATCAGCAAAGCTTTTTTGGGCCCTTTTGTTTCTCTCTGCTCTCCTTTCAGTCTATTCCTTCACCTCTCCTTCCACCTGACTATCATTTCCTGCTCTGTTTGTCCATTAGAGGTAGATAGATGTTCTTTGTTTTTGCATTCTAAGCAGTGCAAATATTCTGCCATTAGGGCAGATGAGGCCAGCTCAAGCAATACAAACACAAATGCAAACGTATTATCAATAAACAACTTTATCAATATGCAATCTGAGCTAATGTCAACCTAGCTCCAAAGTCAATATAGACATGGTTAAACTAAAACTGAAAACACAAATCTATAAGTAATAATAATACTTTAATCCATTCACATAATTTTTCACTTGACTTCTTCTTTGACTCTCTGTGGTCATTAAAAATTTGCCCCTTGGCCTCTGTTCATCATGGCCTCCTAATCATCCCCATACTGATTGGCTTCATCACTGTCTCCTCTCCACCAATAAGCTGTTGTGTGGTGGGCGTTCTGGCGCAATATGGCTGCCGTCACATCATCTAGGTGGAGGCTGCACATTGGTGGTGGTTGAGGAGATTCCCCCTTCCATGTTTCCATGTAAAATGCTTTGAGTACCCAAAAAAGCGCTATATAAATGTAATAAATTATTATTATTATTATTTCACTATTCTATGCTGTTTTGTGGTAGTTTGTTTTGTTTTGTTCTGAGCACACAGAGCATTCAGACACTGTGACTGACTCTTCGTGAATGTGTGAGCACTGTTATCTCCCTGTCAAGTACAAACTATCCCATCATCATTTGATGAGCTTTAAGTGGACATCCAGCAAGCAATTTTGTGTTTAAAAGACGGCTAATGGCCGTCCAAACACAGCCCTAATTTCCAGGCTTAAACAAGGCAAAATTTGGGCTGTCAGTGAAAATTTAGACAAGCATAGCCCAAGACTATACTCGTCATCTAGAACATGTCAAAGAAATGAAACCAAACATCTTGTAATCACTATGGGCTCTATGCACGGCGTTATTTCCGGTGAAGGATTAAGGATGCTCGAACTTCCGCCGATCATAGAGTCCAATGCAATACCGAGAATTTATATTGAATTTTATACTCCATGGTTATAATAATGAAACGTTAGTCACAAAAACAGATAAAACAGACACCCCTCGTTGTGTTTATGCTTCTTTTTAAAATAAACATAACTATATATAAAATTACATCTAAACGTATGTACGTTTCGTTTCAAAGACGGGAGGACAGTAAATATTGAAGACTCTGCCATAATCCCGTTTTCTCCGGTTTTCCTCCGCTTTAATCTACACAACCGGAAATGGACGAGCATCCTTACGTCAAATGCGGAACTTATGCGTGCATATAGCCCATTGACTTTGCATACATGATGAAATATCAGACATCTCGCAAGTTATTTGGGCAAAACTACATGGATTACCCATAGCCGGACTCTATATAGGGTCTATAGTTAACCTACCTGTAGACGGTGATCTATTGCTTGCTGGGCAGTGTTCAAAGTTGGTGGTCTTTTTCTTTCTTTGTTTTTCTTTGTTTTTCCAATCATTTAAATATTAAACAACACTGAACTCTGTACAGGGTATTTTATCCTCTCTAGGGCTGAATGATGAATAAGTTAATGATAACAAAATGCAATTGATCATTCAAGATATGCAATCAGATATATTATCACACAAGTGGTATTTTGTTTTGATTGTCCAATGAGTATGACCACATGCAAGTACACAGGATGGTCTCCTTTCTATTGTTTTTGTAAACAGTTGTCTTATTTAAATGCTGCTGATAAGTCCTTAAAACGGCAAGAACAAACGATCTAGTTTGCGCAATTCCGCCACACCAAACAGCCAAAGGTCAGCTGTCCTTGGGCAAAAAATGCATTGTTAATATGCCAGTCTAGTACACACAGTTCCTTTTCCGCTGTCTTCCTCCCTGAAACAATCATGCAGTGATACACACACTCACAATCTCTCTGACACAAACACACGTGGACAAAAAAGTTGCACAATATTAAAATTACCTCCATTAAACTGACAATAACTATTTTTAATGTTGTGACCAATAACCAATGAATGGTTGATATTTAAAATCAATAGAAGTATGCATAAATAAATAAAAAAAGTACTAAAGACTTTTAAAATCTGCAAGGGAATTTAAGCACCACAATGTTACTCTATATGCACAGTATTGAAATAGATTTTCATTTAGATTTTTTTTTTTTTTTTGGATTTACAGTGCTTTTAAAAGATTCACTTTAAATTAGGTGTTATAGAACAGGAAAGGTATCTAAATATACAAATAGAGGAAAAATGTAATATTCAATATCAGCCAACATATATCCAATATCAAGCCATATAGGCCAACCGATTCTGCTCTTATATATGTGCAACCCTAAAAAATGCACTTGGGGTGGTCCTATATATGACAAAATGCTTAAATGGATATTCACTGACAAGCACTGATGAATCTGACACAGAACACCATTATTTTCAGGAAATGTACATGTACACATGTACAATCACTCACATCATAAAGTGACATATTGTATGGTAGTAGTTTCATCACCACGTGCACAAGATGTTGCATCAAAACAATGTTTTCTACAGGATGGTTTTCTCATGACATTGTAAAAAACAAATATTTACATGATTTTTTGTCACAAGATTTTTTTCTTCTTTCAAAGATAATTTTTATCATTTTAATATTTTTATTTTTATCAACTAAGATACATTTCTGGTTCAGAAAGCATAATAATTTGAGTTTCTGAAACTCCAACAGAATCTCCTTCATTCTATCAACATTTTTTTTTAATTCCAAAGAACTTAAAATTTGAAGGCATCCAGGTTACTTACTATTTTTAAGTTAAATCAACAACATTTGTTTTTACAGTATACTCAACCGATCACATATACTCACTTGTCAAGCCAGGTTCAGATTCAGCCCAAAATCAGCGTAGATGTCAGATGTACAACAAATGAATGGGCCAGAAAGTTCTGCTGCAGTCCTGTGGTACAATGATCAGATCCAGAGAACGGGGGAGTGTTGGCAGTGTTGTGACATGCACCCAGGCGTACACACTATCATGTACACAGCCAGAACTGGTCTTCTGTCACACAGGCTGTGAGACTGTGAGGCCTGATCCTGTTAATCTCTCTCTGTCTCTCTCACTTTTGAACTCTCTCTCTCTCTCTTTCACTTGATGCTCGTTTTCTCTGATGCTTACGTAATACTACCCTCGTGCACACGGGCCAACCACAGGCACTCTGTCTCCCACCATTAAAGAGCTGCAGGATTTAAAGACAGAGAGGGAGGGATGGATGAAGAGGAAGGGGAAGAGAGATATGATGATAAACAGAGTGTCACATAGTCCATGTGCATTATGAGAGAAATAAACACAAGAGAAAAGGTGTTTAATGCTTTATGGGGAGAACACAAACATCAATGTGTAACCCTGGGTGGTAAATTTCTACATTGTAATTCGTTATTGTTATTATTGTTATTTTTTTTATTTATATAATTTTATTTATCTAGGTTAAATGGGTATGCAAAAATGTGCTGCTTGATGCTGACGGTTTGTTATTGAATCAAAGTGTACTTGTTCAGAAAATGTGAATATCAGTGAGTTTGTACTTTGAACTGTCAGTAACAGCTTGATTCCGCCTCAGATGAGTTATAGCGACTGTGATTGGCCAGGGCGAATGTCAGTCAAGGGAAGGGAGAGAAAAAAAAAGGAGAAGAAAAAATGTTGTCGACATGATAACAGAGCGCGGGTGAATAACAAGGGTTTTCATGTGAAAAATAGTCAGAAGAACTACGTTGTTTAAGTGTTAAGCTGAACAGTATTCTGTTGTGAGGTCAACACGACCACACTATGTAGTCAACACGACGCGATTCGGAAGAACTGTATTAGTTTAACGCTTGATCGCTATCGCAGTGAATCAGACTTCATGTGACTGGTGAGAAAGTTTACTCAAGTTTATCCGTTACATCTGCGAATGTAAGCGTGTCAAATGTGATCAAAGCGATTGCCAAGAACTGGTAGTGCATCGATCGAGAGTGACAAAGCCGTTGAGGAAGAATCCAGATAGCGCTCCTAATCCCCGAGTGGTTAGGAGTTCCTCTGGCATCGCGGGAGCATCGCGGGAGTTTCACGGAGTTTGCTAACTGATGTCTGCTGCATGTGGATGGATCTGATGGGTGACGGAAATCAATAACTCTTGCCACTTACACTCAGGTACACTTTGCTTATTTTATTTGTGCTCCTGTAGAGCGAAGCGGCCATTTTACGTTTTACTCGGCCTCGACGCACACAAGCAACGTTCCAGGCCTGCAACGGTGTGTGAGTGTGTGTGTGTTGTGGGCCCACAATAGAGTGTTTTTTTTTCCCAATTGGTGAATGATTTAATGGTTTAAAACTCTGTCATATTACGGTGTTACAGTTTGCATTTCTTGTTGAAACTGAGGTTTGTTTACATTTCTTTATTACTGAGTTTCATAGAGACCGGAATTTCACTGGTATATTGGTTTGCACTGAGCATTTAAAGACAAATTAATTTTTTTTGTAAAGTAAGGAAAAGTTAATTTAAAGAGTGATTCATTAGCTATCCTTATTTTGAAGGGAATCTAAAAGGTTAACCCTTTAAGTGCCTGTTGCTGAGAAGAGTTAATCAAACACTGCATTTGAAAATACCACTTTTTTCGGAAGTTGTTTGAACAACTTTTATTCATCTCTAATGTGATTCACTTTTGATTCACTTTCTTTTTTTGTTTATTTTTATTTTATCTTATTTTTTAAATAAATCCATTGTGTATTTCAGTTATAGTGTGGTCACTTTACTAGTTGTAATTGGTTAAACGAGGTTTTCAGAGATCTGAGTTGCACTTTATAAAAAGTAGTGTAGAGTCAAGGGTCACAGATTGATTATAAAATCACGTCGAGAGACAAATAAACGAATCTGGGTTCAAGCGTCTAACATCCCAAAAGGGTAGATACACTTAGGATGGTAGGGGGCGCTACATAAAGTGGGGGCTCGTCCGGGATTGATCCTTGCCCAGTACACTGCTTGAAAAAATCAGTAAAGTGCTTAGAGAAAAACTACGGTTTAAGTGGATCAGGCAATTATGGATGCTGATTATTCATCTTTACAAGCTGAACTCGACGATTGGAGTCAGAAAGCAATAATTGATCAGAAACATGCCGTGTTACTGTTTGGAGTGCCATCGGATGTTGAGGTTGCACGCATTGAGGAAACAATCCAAAAAGTCAAAGCTTTGGGAAGAGTGAGAGTCAGGGATTCTAAAGAAGGGCCCACTCCAGGGTTTTTACTTGTGCTATGTGAGTGCAAAGAAGTGGTTGATCCTTCTCGCGTGCCTGTAGAAGTGATACCTGAAGGGGGTGAGACACCTTGGAAGATAATTGTAGCGAAAAGTGCTGAGTCACCATCTGATGGGTTTGCTGAGAAATTAGCAAAGCTGTTGACACAAGAAGGAAAGTCTTTCACTGATCTTCAAGCTATGTTTTCTACTCCCAGTTCCAATGCAGGTTCTCCAGAAGCAATAATCCGTGCGGTGGGTGAACTGTTGGAAAAGACCTCAAAACCTGTCAGCGATGGAGGTGCATACCGACGATTAAGGACCTTTTCAGGTATTGTTCCTACTCCGGCAGGGGAAGAGGCTTTGGAGAGCTGGATGGATCAAGCTAGAATGATGATTACGGAGTGTGAATGCTCGGAGAAAGAGAAGCGTCGACGTATCATTGAGAGCTTGAAGGGTTCAGCCCTGGATGTTGTGAAAGCTGTCAGATTTTCTAGCCCAGATGCCACTTCTCTTCAGTATCTAGAGGCTTTGGAGGGAGCTTTTGGAACTCCTGAATCAGGAGAAGACTTATATTTTGCTTTCAGATTACTGAGACAGAATCCTGGTGAAGCTCTTTCTGATTTCCTGAAGAGAATGGAGAAATCTCTGACCAAGGTAGCACAAAAAGGTGGGTTACCCTGGAAGAATTTGGACCAAACAAGAGTAGAACAGCTAATTCGGGGAGCTGTTGAATCTGACTTGATGTTGCTCCAGCTGAGATTGAGAGAGAGACGAGGAAATCCACCCACTTTTCTAACTCTCCTGAATGAGATAAGGGAGGCGGAAGAAAGCGAAGCTGCCAGACATAGTCTGGGTTTTACTGTAAAGCCAGTTCCCCGGCCACGGGAGAGACAGAGTAGTTTGGCTGTTGTGAGAGAATTGAAAGCTGAGATTGAAGAGCTGCGGACAAAAGTGGCAGAAGGATCGTCTAAAGTAACTATGCCAGAGGTGATGATGGAGCCAAAGCCTATTCCAAGAAAGAGAGGAGGTGACACATCAGGGGATTCAGAAGTACTCTCACTAAGGAAGCAGGTGCAAAGACTAGAAGAGCAGTTGGCTTCATTGAGTATTAGGCAGTCGCCACAGATGACAAGAGATCCACATTCACTAGAGCAGGCTGATACTTCTGTGAAACCCAGATTTGAAAAAGCTCAAGAGGATTACTTCTGTTACAAATGTGGGGAAGATGGCCACATTGCTCCGAAGTGCAAAGCTCCTGAGAATTACTGTCTGGTGATACAGAAGCTTGTGCGATCGTTACGAAAGGCCAGAAATGAAAGAATGGATCAGAGTAGTAGTAAACACACTAGTGATAAAGCCAGCTTTTCCCGGAAAAGCCAGACAGTTGCGGTTGAGAAGAGTAGTCTTCCTGAAGGATTGGTGGGTCCAGCTCTGACAATCACAATGAAGATCAATGGCCAACCCTGTGAAGCCTTACTAGATAGTGGATCTCAGGTCACTATCATCTTTGAGCCATGGTACTCTGAAAACCTGTCATCAGTGCCCATTCAGCCTCTCTCTGGTCTGTCCATTTGGGGCCTTAGCACAGCCAGTTATCCCTATAAGGGTTATGTCTTGGTAGACGTTTCTTTCCCTGCTTCTGTCATGGGCGTGGAAGAGACTGTTTCCATCCTTGCTTTGGTTTGTCCAGAACCGGAAGGTCCTAAACAAGTGCCTGCGATCATTGGGACAAATGCAAGTTTTTTCCAACGTTTGACTGGACTTGGCACAGCTGGTCATGAGACAGATGAGGCACACTCATTAAGAATTCAGCTTCACAACTCAGAACTAGAATCACGTGCAAAACTTGACATACCTGCTGGAGAAGTCAAATGGACAGGTCCAGGTGCTTGCGTCATACCATCAAGGGGAGAAATGTGTGCTGTTTGTACAGTTGAGTCACAAAAACCACTTGAGAAAGAAATTTTCATGGTAGAAACCCCTTCAGATGATATGCTGCCTGCAGGACTGTTCATTCTTCCAGTTGTACTGCCCTCTTCTGCTGTAGAGGAGAACAAATTCAAAGTGCTGATTAAGAATGAGACGTGCAAAGAGGTAACAATACCATCTGGAACAGTCGTAGCTCATGTGTTTCCTACAGATACAGTGACTGTGGCATCTGTTACCCCGGTGGAATCCAAGACCATTAATCCAAAGGTGTTTGATTTCAACAAGTCCACCATTCCAAAAGAGTGGGAAGATAGACTTCGCCAGAAACTGTCTGTGAGAGGTAATGTCTTTTCTCAGGAAGAATGGGATGTAGGACTGGCAAAGGACGTTAAACATTGCATCCGTTTGAGTGACTCTAGGCCATTTAGAGAGAGATCTCGACGAATTGCTCCAGCTGATATTGATGATGTCCGTCGACACCTCAAAGACCTGTTAGCTGCGGGGATTATTAAAGAATCCCGGAGTCCTTATGCTTCCCCAATTGTAATTGTTCGTAAAAAAAGCGGTGCAATACGCATGTGTATCGATTATCGGACTTTGAACAGCAGAACTCTTCCTGATCAGTACACGACCCCACGCATAGATGATGCGTTGGACTGTCTTGCAGGAAGCAAGTGGTTTTCAGTCTTAGACTTGCGGAGCGGCTACTACCAAATAGCCATGGCAGATGAGGACAAGGAGAAGACTGCTTTCATATGTCCTTTAGGGTTCTATGAATTTGAAAGGATGCCACAAGGAGTTAGTGGAGCTCCTGCAACCTTCCAAAGACTTATGGAGCGTGCAGTTGGGGACATGCATCTGCTAGAAGTGATAGTGTACCTTGACGATATTATTGTCTTTGGGTCCACTCTAGAAGAACATGAACAGAGGCTTTTGAAAGTCTTAGACCGTTTAGAAGAGTATGGATTGAAGATTTCACTGGATAAGTGCCAGCTCTGTATGTCACAGGTCAAATATGTGGGCCATATTGTCTCTGCTGATGGTGTTGCTCCTGACCCGGAGAAGATAGAAGCAGTCACTAAGTGGAAGCTGCCCACAGATGTAAAAACCTTAAGGTCATTCCTAGGATTTTGTGGTTTCTACCGACGCTTTGTCAAAAACTACTCTGTGATTGTGCGACCCCTGACAGAACTCACCAAAGGGTATCCTCCAGCAAAAGGGGGTGGAAAAGTCACCACAGAGAGAAACTACTTCAAAGAGGCAGAGCCATTTGGTGAGCGGTGGGGCGAAGATTGTACTAAGGCCTTTAAAACCATCATCTACTGTCTTACGCATGCCCCGGTCCTGGCATTCGCTGACCCTTCCAAAGCCTATGTTCTACATGTGGATGCAAGTGGGAATGGCTTAGGTGCAGTGCTGAACCAAGAGTATCCGGAAGGACTCAGACCAGTAGCATACGCTAGTAGGAAACTAAGTACAACAGAGCAAAGATATCCTACTCATCAACTGGAATTCTTAGCATTGAAGTGGGCTGTGGTGGATAAATTTCATGACTACCTTTATGGGGTGAAATTTGTTGTAAGAACTGACAATAATCCACTCACCTATGTCCTCACTACAGCTAAGTTGAACGCGACAGGACATCGCTGGCTGGCGGCATTGGCCACATACGATTTCAGTCTTCAATATAAGCCTGGACGTCATAACATCGATGCCGATGCATTGTCTCGTTATCCCTTAGAAAGCGAGTCACCTGATGGATGGACGGAAATATCCCAGCCAGGAGTGAAAGCAATCTGTCAGATGGTGACAAGTGACCAAGATGAGGAATCTTCCACCAGATTGGTAGATCAGTTGGGAGCCGATTCAATCATTGTTCCACCTGTTTATGCATCTTTTACACAGCTGGAGCTAGGAAATCTAAAACAGTTGACACATGCTGAGCTTCAGTTCGCTCAAGACAAAGATCCAGTCATTGGACCAGTGAAGATAGCTGTGGAGCAAGGAAAGGTACTTACGCCTAGTGCAAGTGCTAACCTCCGTATGACTCTATTGCTGAGACAAAGTTCTAAGCTGGTTTGCCAGAATAAGTTACTGTACAGAGTGTCCATCAGTCCCTGTGGTAAAGAGAAAAAACAGCTCGTTTTACCTGAACAGTTCCACCAACAAGTAATGTATTCATTACATGATGATGCTGGACATCTCGGAATTGAGAGGACTACAGAGCTCCTGAAGGACAGATTCTACTGGCCACAAATGACTTCTGAGATCGAGAAGTATGTAAAAAACTGTGGAAGATGCATAACCAGAAAGACATTGCCTCAGAAACGTGCACCCCTGAGTAACATCACAAGTAGTGGGCCAATGGAACTTATATGTATTGATTTCCTGTCAATAGAACCAGATTCTAAGGGTCTTGCTGATGTCCTGGTTGTTACTGACCATTTTACCCGGTATTCCCAAGCCTACCCGACCAAAGACCAGAAAGCAGTTACGGTTGCCAAGATTCTCTGGGAGAAGTTCTTTGTGTATTACGGACTTCCAGCCCGTATACATTCAGACCAAGGGAGAGACTTTGAGAGTCGGCTTATTAAAGAACTCCTGGGAATGCTGGGGATTAAGAAGTCAAGGACGACACCTTACCACCCTCAGGGAGACCCACAACCTGAGCGATTTAATAGGACACTACTCTCCATGCTGGGAACATTGGATGTTGCAGAAAAGCAAAAGTGGAGCCAGCATATCGGCAAACTAGTACACGCGTACAATTGTACTAAAAATGAGGCTACAGGGTACTCCCCTTACTTTCTTTTGTTTGGAAGAGAAGCCCGCTTGCCAATCGATGTGTGCTTTGGTACTTCTTCAGATGGGAGAGAAGGACAGACATACCAGAGGTATGTGGAAGACCTGAAGACAGATCTTCAGAAAGCCTACAAACTAGCTTCTGAATCTGCTCTAAAGAATCATCAGAGAAACAAACGTCTCTATGATCAAAAGGTGAAATATCAAAGCATAAGCCCTGGAGACCGTGTGCTTATTCGAAATCTCAGTTTCACAGGAAAGCACAAACTGGAGGATAAGTGGAATTCGGCCCCGTACATTGTTCTTGAAAAGCTTGATAATTTGCCTGTGTACAGACTCAAATCAGAGAAAGAAACTGGAGGAGTCAGGACAATGCATAGAGATCATCTCTTACCTATTGGACAATCGGTGAGAATGCCTAAACCAGATAAGAAGCAAGAAGTTCCTCAAAGGCCAGTAACTAGGTCTAGAGCTACCAAAGAGCACAAAGAAACATTGAGAGAGGAAAGAGTATTGGGACCTCCTGTAACTGCTGATAATTCCTCAGGGGATGAAGATGGAAGCGATGGGTACTATTTTCCAGACAGGTCTAAACAATGGACACAGTTAATTCCTGATCTCCAGCACAAGCTTGAAGTTCAAGAGAATGAAGTAACTGCCCACACAGACAGTGAATCTCAATATTCTGGAGAAGAGGAAGTGGTGGAGGAAACCTGTGAAAATGAGGATTCCAGAGAGAATAGGCACCCGATTGTGGATTTGAGGGAAGAAGAATCTTTAGAAGGAGGAGTAGATAGCTCTGATAATGCCTCAGACTTGCAATCCGAACCCATGGAGCATCGTCCTAAAAGGAAGCTGAAACCGGTGTTTAAGTTGAGCTATGATGAACTAGGCAAATCTAGTGAGAGACCCGTAACAGTTGTGCACAGAGGAATAGTTATTCATTTGACAGATTCCTCAAAGATTGAACTTTGCCCTTCTGAAAAGTATCAACATTTACCTAAGTGTGCTAGGTGTACTAGAATATGTGGTAACTCTGAGAATACACTCATTATCCATAGTTAAATTCCGTATGCTCATGGGGACATGAGAATTCTAGAAGGGGGAGGATGTAACCCTGGGTGGTAAATTTCTACATTGTAATTCGTTATTGTTATTATTGTTATTTTTTTTATTTATATAATTTTATTTATCTAGGTTAAATGGGTATGCAAAAATGTGCTGCTTGATGCTGACGGTTTGTTATTGAATCAAAGTGTACTTGTTCAGAAAATGTGAATATCAGTGAGTTTGTACTTTGAACTGTCAGTAACAGCTTGATTCCGCCTCAGATGAGTTATAGCGACTGTGATTGGCCAGGGCGAATGTCAGTCAAGGGAAGGGAGAGAAAAAAGAAGAAAAAATGTTGTCGACATGATAACAGAGCGCGGGTGAATAACAAGGGTTTTCATGTGAAAAAATAGTCAGAAGAACTACGTTGTTTAAGTGTTAAGCTGAACAGTATTCTGTTGTGAGGTCAACACGACCACACTATGTAGTCAACACGACGCGATTCGGAAGAACTGTATTAGTTTAACGCTTGATCGCTATCGCAGTGAATCAGACTTCATGTGACTGGTGAGAAAGTTTACTCAAGTTTATCCGTTACATCTGCGAATGTAAGCGTGTCAAATGTGATCAAAGCGATTGCCAAGAACTGGTAGTGCATCGATCGAGAGTGACAAAGCCGTTGAGGAAGAATCCAGATAGCGCTCCTAATCCCCGAGTGGTTAGGAGTTCCTCTGGCATCGCGGGAGCATCGCGGGAGTTTCACGGAGTTTGCTAACTGATGTCTGCTGCATGTGGATGGATCTGATGGGTGACGGAAATCAATAACTCTTGCCACTTACACTCAGGTACACTTTGCTTATTTTATTTGTGCTCCTGTAGAGCGAAGCGGCCATTTTACGTTTTACTCGGCCTCGACGCACACAAGCAACGTTCCAGGCCTGCAACGGTGTGTGAGTGTGTGTGTGTTGTGGGCCCACAATAGAGTGTTTTTTTTTCCCAATTGGTGAATGATTTAATGGTTTAAAACTCTGTCATATTACGGTGTTACAGTTTGCATTTCTTGTTGAAACTGAGGTTTGTTTACATTTCTTTATTACTGAGTTTCATAGAGACCGGAATTTCACTGGTATATTGGTTTGCACTGAGCATTTAAAGACAAATTAATTTTTTTTGTAAAGTAAGGAAAAGTTAATTTAAAGAGTGATTCATTAGCTATCCTTATTTTGAAGGGAATCTAAAAGGTTAACCCTTTAAGTGCCTGTTGCTGAGAAGAGTTGATCAAACACTGCATTTGAAAATACCAGTTTTTTCGGAAGTTGTTTGAACAACTTTTATTCATCTCTAATGTGATTCACTTTTGATTCACTTTCTTTTTTTGTTTATTTTTATTTTTTATTTTATCTTATTTTTTAAATAAATCCATTGTGTATTTCAGTTATAGTGTGGTCACTTTACTAGTTGTAATTGGTTAAACGAGGTTTTCAGAGATCTGAGTTGCACTTTATAAAAAGTAGTGTAGAGTCAAGGGTCACAGATTGATTATAAAATCACGTCGAGAGACAAATAAACGAATCTGGGTTCAAGCGTCTAACATCCCAAAAGGGTAGATACACTTAGGATGGTAGGGGGCGCTACAAATGTTTTCCAGGCCCTGTGATTTAACTGTTTGACAGTCTGTCATTTTGGCATGCTGAAATTGGAAAAGCTTGGTGTCGATTCATTTTCTGCTAATTCTTTTTTGAGCCAAGATGCACCAATATCCTGCTAATTCTTTGTGTGTGTGAATTGGAATGTGTGCAAAGGATTGTGGGTGGATAGGAGAATGTGAAGGATATACTTTATCCATCCTTCAAAACATGCTGGCTGAAGGATGAGAAACGAAGGATCCTTTAAAGTGACACATCCTTTGACAGAGTGTGATGACTTGGCAGCCAAGATATGCACAATTAGGGCAGAGCTTTCCAACTGTGAAGCACCCAGCAAGTTAGTTCTTGAATCATCCATTCAACCCATTGATTGAAAAATACTGATTCGTTGAGTAACAAAACACCACAGAGACTCACACGGTTCATACTGCTTTGCCTTTGTTTGAAACCTTTTTTGTTGGTGGAGAAAAAATAGACAAAGTAACTGGCAATATTGTATGTAAGTTACTCAAATTCAATTTCTTGTGAATTAACACTAGAACGGCCACGACAGTCATTTTGGCCGTTTGGAATTTTATATCTGCAATAACCTTGTTGAAAAAATAAATAAAATCCTGCTGGTACCTGACTTGAGAGCTGGTCAGATGCTGGGAGAGTTAAAGTCATGAAATCCCAAACCAGATTCAATAGTAGGATTAAATGGTTAAATTTTTCCCACTTTTTTCGTCTTCCGGATTTAAAATCTTCATCGTGTCCACGTCACCCGCTGCGACGTGGCCGTGCACTGCGTTGATGTCTCATCTGTGCCTCATAATTATTAATGATACTGAGTTTTCTTAAGAAGAAACGGTCTCTTAATTATTCATGACACCACATGGATCTTTCCAACAACAGATATGTCACACTGTGAGATCACATAGTAGATGAGAGAGGCAATAATGGGAGGCAAGTGTTTGTTTTCATGGTCAAAGTGCGTTTAATATGTTCCCCGCGATGCTGCCAGGGCTAGACTCTGGCTCTGTTGTGCATTTCCCGAAAGCATCGTTAGCCAACTATGGTCGCAAGTTGGTCGCAATTTCTATTGAACTCTATAGGTAACGACGGAACTTGCGACCATAGTTGGCTAATGATGCTTTTGGGAAACGCACCCCTGGACGGTTGGTTTGCCATCGACCACTGACACATCTAAACACTATCTAAACTATAGTGTTTGCCGCAAACATTTTCTCAAGAGAGCTGCGACAAGTGGAGAATGGTGGACTTGTATGAATGGTGACAACTAATCCAAGTTGCGTCTTGCGAGTGATGCTGTATCCGGAGGACTTTTCTATCCCTTCAGAGGTGTGTGTGACCAGACTGATCTCATCAAGTAGCTTGTGTATGACACGCCAATTCGTATTTCCATTTTTGGCGTGCTATCAAGACGCATAATCGCTTTTCAGCGTGTTTATGAACGCCGTTGACTTAACGTTATTACTGTATATATAAATATATGACTTACCTCAACCCTGTCCCTAAACCTAACCGTCACTGGGGTTAATAGCATTTATGACTGTTCCCTTACCATCCTAGGAAAAAAAATATCGCTCCCCAGATGTAGATCTACATTTTGCTTCATTTCGCGCGGACATTTGACGGCGTATACAGACACGCGGAATCACTCAGACGTTAATGGCGTAGACATCATACACGCATACACACGGATACACGTGGATAGCTCAAAATGTGTAGAGATAACACGCCACTTGACTCGAAAGTGGCATGTATGTTTACGCAAAAGTCATGATGTCATGTTGGTGTGACAGTGTGTTTAAAATGAGAAGTCATCCACCTCAGCAGAGCCATCTTTATTATGAGGGTTCAGGGGGCGCGTAGATCTAGGCTGTGCACGGAACGTTTTTTTTAAAGTGGAAAATTAATAATTTTCAAATGCATTTATAGTGTCTATATAAACCACTATATATTTTATAATGACATTATAATTATACATGTTGGCTACATTAATATGTTTTAAATAGAATTATGATTAGTGTAGGCTAAGATATGTAGCAGGACACTCAGTTACTTTTGAAAGGACAATAACTAATAAAGTGTCAATGTATTTCATAAGACTTTAACTTTGCCAGCTATATAAAATAATATAGCATTTCCTCATGTTTTACCACTGCTTTTTAGTGACAGTAGATATGCATGAGACATTGACAGTGATGGACATACCACACCCACTCCCTCCCTTCTTCTCACAGCTATAGTTGCATTTTTCAAAAAGATTGTGAGCTAAACTTGAGCTGAAAGAGGGGGGATTCATTCATTCATGCAAATGTCAAAGCCCTTGACAGCCCAGGGACGCTGCATGTAGGAGTACTGAACATGGATGGATGACACATGGAAAACGGATACAGGCAGGGCACAAACACGCAGAAATCATCCACAACGATCGGACAAAGACTAGGAGACAACAGTTAAGGGTTTACTGATCAGAAGCAGCGGGCATGCTGATCAGCAGCAATGATCAGCAACCACGCACACACTAGAAGACAGCAAATTCATATGACATTGTCTCTCTCACTGTCAAAAAATCTAAATAAGATACTTTTAGTTATCTTGTTCTGAGTTATGTTGAATGGACATGGAATATAGCCTAGGCTATCGGTTGTGAATATGCAATAATTACGGATTATACCATGGTCTGGGTGAATACTCGATTCTGATTGGCTGCAGGGTGTCCGTTAAAAAGTGATAGAGGACACCTAGTAAAGTAGTTCTGGTGAAACTGCCTGTTTACCATTCAAAATTAATAAATAAATGCGCTGCCTACAACGGCTGTGAGTAACCATAGCAACAGGCAGTCACATACTCTATCATCTAACGTTAGATATTATAGCCTAATACAACAATGAGCGACTTCGTGCTATTTCTTTTAACATTTATGGAGAATATGGCAACTTTGACGACTGGTATGCTGCTGAAGAAAGAAAAAATGTAAATAAAACGGAGAAAATTACACCGTTGCTGATCTGCTCCATTGAACTCTATTGGTAACGACGACGTAACTTGCGACCGCATAGTTGGATAACGATGCTTTCGGGAAATGCACCCCTGAATGAGACCCTGAGTTTTACGCAGCTGTCCAGACAACCAAGGCAGGAGAAGGCTGAACGTTACAGCGTTTCAAGCCTAAGGAGCCTGAGGCAAATGACCCTCTCTTTGATCTGATTAATTTATTGCCCTCTATAACGTTAAGCGCAAATCGCTGGAGATCAGAGCTAATTGTTTTTTTTATTGTTGTTTGATTAATTGTTTTATGTGTAATAAAAAAAAAACTAGCTATGCCTACCTTTGTGTTTCATGAAAAAAAAAAATGCATTTGTGAACCTGAAGGGATACGAGCTAAGCGGACTATAAATATCTCCGGTTGCTAGATAAACAGTCAGGCAAGGCAAGTTATTATTTGTAAAAACTAGATTTAGCCTAATTAAAATATAAACTAATGTTTTTAAAATGTTTTATTTGGCAAGTGACCATGGTATAAGCGGGTTAATGCCCTCCGACGTGTCCATTGTCAGGTTTTAATGGACGACGGCGAGGCGTAAACCGGCCGACGCGCAGCGGAGGCGCAGCTCTTACATACAGATACTAATGATATTATTTATTAAACTTGTTTAAATGTACAGTTTGGCGTTGTTTTGTTTTTAAGATATCCTAATACAATAAATTCATTAATCTCTACATTGGGTATCATAGAGCTCGCATCTAACAGTCAAAATGACCGCTTGTGGCAGTTATGGAATTCTGGCACTTCTAGTGTTAAATTATAAAAGCAACATCACACATCATGTTTGTCTGAATGTCAGCATGGCAGTGATGTGATTCAAACATGGCCACTGATCATTAATGTATTAATTCAAATGAAACAACAGCACTCTTTTTATGAGACATGCTTAATTATGAGCCATAGTGAATTGTACTAAAAATACAGGCTTCCTGTACAGTTATTGAATTTTCATCCATTTTATGTTATAGTACTATTGGTGTAACTAATTTAACATTTTTGAGAAAAAGAATGCTCATTGTGTTCCATCAAATGCTGTGGCCCATGTTCTTCAAAAACAGTGGTGAATGGTTATCCTTCAATGATAAGGCAGTAAACTAATCTTAGAAAATAGGTTTTACAACACAGTTTATCTCCTGCTTTTGTTTTTTCTCATGCAGTTGTATTGATAAGGAGAGAAAAAAACCCACTTTGCTTTATTGGCATGACTGTGTCAATACAATGCTGCCAAGCATCAACATATTATATATAAATAATAAAACAAACAAGTAAAACATATAAGTATAAATAATGTCATATGTAGCATTGTAAATAAATCTTAATAAATAAATAAATACATTGGGTCACTCTAGAGAATTAACGGTCTCTGGCATTGTGAATAGCTAACAAATTTAGCCGCTAGTGCAGCTGTACTATCATTTTCTCTGAGTAAGAAGGACATTTTTTCAGTGCCACTCAGTTCAAAGAATGATGGAAACAAGGTTACAAATATGGGCAGAACAGTTTCTCTCTCTTTCAAAGCAAAGTATTTGTGAAGCCACAACACGCAACCTTGAGGCAACCTACAACCGTAGAAGACCCGACCGGGTACCACTCATCTGCACAACAAATAGGAAAAAGAGGTTACAGTTTGCAAGAGCTCACCCAATTTGGACAGCTGAAGACTGGAAAAATGT